ATTCTTGTGTTTCACTTCGCATGTTTTGACTTCCCGAATAATATGATTATTCAAACTATCCACAGTCGATCATACTTTGGAAGTAGGTATTGAGGCAAGACTGTCATGCATCCGACTGTAGATTGTCTAAGTGTTTTAGACATGGTGCAAGTTTGTTGTAGTGTTCATGAGTACTCCTGAAATAAGATTTGAGTATTGGATCAAACCCACGCTCATTTGAATCACTTCATGGATTTTATCACGAGTGATCATGAGACGATAATATCTTATATTTTTGAAACCAAGACATATGAGTTGTAGCTTACAAGTCAGTTGCGCATCGAAGATGCAAAAACGCACCAGTAACTTGGTGTTATAAAACGTATTATTGTGTGTGATTTGATGAGTAAGTAGAGCAAGCATATTAGTCGAAGTTTATCCGTTCCTTTTACCCAACGTGGGATAAAAGCGATATATGTGGGCCCCTCGATGATTTAGTAATGACACCCTAAGCACTTGGCCAAGCCTGGACTGATTTGATTTGTTCAATTAGTTTGTAGTCATAAATCAGAAATAAGGAAATAATAGATGGACAGAGAGAATGATTATAATCCATGTCTCAGTCCATATAATATCTTGTAGAACGGAGGAATATATGATCCCTTATCTAATGGACGCGTCATTAATTTGTTCAGAGTTTGACAACGGCTTTTGAGAGCTACGATTTCTAGTCGGTTCTTCAAGTCGTAGTTGCAGTTATAGTTATTAGACTTATCCAAGTAGGAGACTGTTGGATTAGGTGTCTAATCTCATAACTATAATCGGTATGTACTTGACCCGAGAGTAGCATGGTCCATTTCGCGTTGCCTTCATCAGGACAATTTGATAGGATGGATTTTGAGAAAGAGGTTATTTGTGATTTATTAATATATTATAAGTATAATATATTAATTGAGAAATCATATTCTATAATTAGTATTGATCAAGACTTAATTTGGAATTAATTTAGTGATCAAAAGAGACTGATTAGATTAGCGGGGACTGATTATGTAAATCAGTGATACATATGGTTTGGGCTAATGATCCATGATTGATTTGTAATGGGCTAAGCTTATGTGAAAGTCCATAAAGTGTTAGTCCAAATAAGTTATGGATCATAAGCCTAAGTGTAAGAATTAGGGTTTCATATGACTCTTGGAATTCTACAGTATATATGTAACCCCTAGCTTGCTAAAATCGGGACTATGAGTCTTCCATGTGTAACCCTAGCCGATTTTAGAGCTCCTAGCCTCCCTCTCATCATCTTCCACTTGTTCATGGTGTTTGTGAGTTGTTTGAGGCACAACACTTGGGGTGCTAAGTTCTCTTAAGGCCAAAGTTCTACTAGCTACATCAAAAGGTAATATTCTAACTCGTTTTATGATTCATATATGAAATTTTTGTAGGCTAGTTGTAGGCTTCATGCTTTGGATATTTTCGTTGCATGTATAACTAAAGAAAACTTAGATCCAAAGCTATTAGTGTTGTATGTGCACCATATGAATGTTAGAGTACATAAAACCCAACAACCTTAACATCAGGATGTTACAAAAAAGACCATGAAGCCAAACAAGTTGAGGTTTAAACTAAACCTCAGAAAAAATGCATACCACAAGGACCATTTTTGCAGTTTTGTCTAAAAATTATATGATATAATCCCTGGTGTCTTTTTCTCTTTGTTTTCCTTTAAGTCATATAAGCGGCACCATATGTTATACCAACAGGTAACACTATGTTACTTAGGCTATTGGGGTGCGAGAGGGGGGGGGGGTGTTATCCGACGTATCCAACTTTTACCTTACCGTCATGTTAATCATGTCCTCTATTACCATTATTGGGGTGATCTTGACGAGAGAGAGAAAGAGGTAGAGAGAGAGAGAGAGCAACAACAACTCCCATCACGCTACCTTTGGGGTGGTAATCCCGCCAATAACGTTCAAGATAACATCCCACTTCGGATAGCCTTATAACGGTGTCGTTGCGAGTGTTATTGTTACATGTTAATTTTAAAGGTCATGCATAATATTTAAGTAATAATTTTTTTATATAAATAAAATTCATTAATACTATGATAAGATTCGATGTCTAATAGATTGGTTGTAGGTAATTAATTAGTGAATATTATTAAAAATAGAAAATTATTCATTACAAATAATTAAGAACCTTAAATAACAACGAAACAGTTACAAAAGCCACCACACTCTAAAGTGTTTTGTGGAAATCTAACACGTCGCTATTTCGGTCATTAGATCCCTCATTAATTTCATCGCTACATCTCACTTCGCCGAGGTTGGTCTTTAGCGGCGGATTTCCAACGAAAATTTTCGTTGTTGATTTCTATGTTTCTAGTATGTAACAAAATTTATGTCCCCTTAACGACATGAATCCCATGCGATCGCAAACGTCATACCTCCTCATGGTCGATCATGGTCATGGTGACGGCGTCGTTGACCATTTTGTCTCTCACCTTAAAATAAAAATGTTGAGCTTTTAATTTTCTTAAATTTTTTTTGTCTTTAAATATCTTTGTAATATATCGTCTCTCTTTAATGTAAAACATTCTTACATGACTACTTCGCTGTCCATTTCTAAACATTTTACATAGTTATTATTTTTTATTACAAAAATAAAAAAATAAAAAATAAAAACTTTGAAATATGAATATAGTTAGGCTATCCGGTGTTGGATGGCTGTAAGCACACGAAAGGATGAGCTGACTTAGCCACCTACACGAACACCGTCCCAACCACACGTACACTTTAGTGTGGAGTAAGGCGAGTTTCAAAGCTTCACAAATGAGAGGGGCCGAAGTAAACGGTCTTTCGACTGTTAATCTTTAAAAAAACAAATGTTTTCTTTTATTACTAACCACTTCCAATTTGACCCTATTAATATCACATATTCTTTAAAAAAAAAATTCAAACAACCATTTTACAATTCTAAAATTCTACAAAATCATAACTAAAATATGAACAATTTTTTGTATTCATCTAGCTAATGACGATAATATATTTTTTTTTCACTCTAGATAGAAAATCACCATTTTAAGGTCAAAAAAGGTGAAAGTTCAAATGCCATTAAATAGACTAGAACTTCAATATCTTAATGTTGCACAAAAATTACATGGGTAACACTGAATACAATTAGTAGCCAATGTGGTAGTCACATGAAAATAATATTGCCATTTTTTGTGATTAACCGTCGATGTGAACATGTACTCATAACAAACACATACATACAGGGGCGGATGTGTGTGGTGCCCGGGGGTCCCAGGCCACTGCTCCGCTTCGGCTCGTTATGATAAAAAAAATTCTATTAGGTGCACCGGCTTCAAATTCAGGTGACACTATACTTTTGAGAATTCGAGACCAAAAAATAAAAAGTGTAAAAAATACTAGCCCAAAAAAAGAAAAATAAAAAATTAGCCCAATAACCCAAATGCATTGTGAGTTTGTGGTCTAAGTTGCTTATTAAGTTTATAACCCAATTTGGAATTGTGACCCACGTACCCAATACCCATCCATGATCCATTGGACCATCACATCGGCAAATCAAAGAAAAGAAGCAGAAAATGATTTCCCTACTGAAAAGAAAAAAAATCGGCAATTCGGCATCTACCTTCTGTGAAAGCTGTGACGCAAAAAAAAAAAAAAAAAAAAATTGCCAATGCAGCCTCCTGCCTCCCTTCAATCGATTACAACCAAGTCATAAGTATTTCGATTTTGCTTGGGTTGGCTTGACACTCCCTTCAAACATACAAATATAATGAAATAAGTAAGTTTTGATAATTTTAGGTTTATGATTTATGAAATTAGTCAAATTAGTTGCTTTTTTGTTAAAATTTCTTATTGTTTAGTTGAAATTAGTAGTTTTTAACCTTGAAATTAGTTGTTTACTTGTAACTTGTTGTTAGAATGTTAGATACTTAGATTGTTAACCTTCAAATTATTCAACTTAGTTTCTTTTCCATTGAGTTTTTGAATAATTGGATGGCTTACTTGTTTGATATTGAATTGTTAGGATAAAATTGGGTTCTTTTTTTGGAAGAACAAGCATCAATAAATCAAGTGTTGGAGAATTCTCCAAAAAACCATGCTCCAATGATTTAAGTTTTGAAGAATCCTCTAAAAGACCATGTCCTTCTAATCAATCATTTCCTTCGGTTTCTAATGTAAATCCACAACCTACAACTACTCCAATTACAAATGTTGAATTGAAAGATCTTCCAAAAGACCCGTGTGTTAGACCAAAGATTACAACTTATCATCCAAATCAAAAAGATGAAATAAGGATGACATATTTGCTTCAAGGACCTTGTCAACCAAGGGGTCATACATTCCCTTCAAAGAAAATAGGTTCAAAAGAAAGACGTTTTGTTGTTAAGTGGTTTGATGAATTTGATTGATTAGAGTATAGCATAAAAAAGAACAAAGCATTTTGTTTATTTTGCTATGTATGTGGAGACATGGTGGGAAAACAAAATGGGAGATATGCATTTGTTTCACAAGGTTTTGATAGTCGGAATAAAAAAAATTTCATTAAGAGATCATAAGGGTGGTATTGATAGTTTTCATCACAAAGCAAAAGAAAATTGTGAATTTTTATTGAAAGAAAAAACAATCTATTAGTTCAGCCTTCAAGAAGCAAACCAAAATTGAGGAGAGTAATTATAAACTTCGTTTAGGTGCTTTAATTTGGTGTTGTAAATTTTTATTGAATATGGTTTACCATTTTGGGAGATGTTTATAGAATTAACACTATTAAACAAATTTAGGAAGAAACAATTACAATGAACCAACTAATTATCCATGGATTTTTATTCACTATATCCATATCCATAGGAACCAATTAGATACAAACCAAGTAATTTAGGAGCGAATACTTCAAATCTTAAAATTAGAGGACTAAAACGACAAAATGTAAAAGTCAAGGGACAACTTGTGTGAATCACTCCAAAAACTCTACATATATCACGAAGTCAAATGAAGCCAAACATCACCGTTATCATGATCGAACACGAAAACACCGAACAACTGAACTTCCACAGGTTTTTCGACTCTTGGCTCAGGGAGCTAAATACCAACCTCCAACAGCTCGCCTCCGCCGCTAGCCACCACCACGACGATGATCAAATCGAAGACGACTCAGATTTACACTCGTTGATTCATAAAGTTGTAGGACACTACGAGGAGTACTACAACGCCAAATCAAAAGGGGCAAAAGAAGATGTGCTTTCAATGTTTTCGCCAACGTGGCTGACATCGCTCGAGGATGCCCTTTTGTGGATGGCCGGATGGCGGCCGACGACGGCCGTCCACCTGCTGTACTCCAAGTCAGGAATCCAGCTTGAGGCCAGAATGACTGATCTAATTCCGGTGTTGAGTTGTGGGGATTTAGGGGACTTGAGTTCGAATCAAATGAACCAAATCGATGAATTACAGAGGAAAATCATCCGTGAAGAGAGAGTGATAACTGAGAGACTGGCGTCACTGCAGGAGTCGGCGGCAGACACGGGCATGGTGGATTTATCAAACATGGAATCAGAGATGATCAGAAAGGAAGAAGACAGTGGAGGGAGGGACATCGATCAAAGAGTGAAATCTTTGCTAAAGAATAAGAAGGATGAATTGGAGGAGGTGTTACACATGGGAGATAGTCTGAGAATGGAGACATTGAAGTCCGTTTTGGAGATTCTGACGCCGTTACAGGCGGTGTACTTTCTTATCGCCGCCGCGGAGCTCCACCTCAGAATACACGATTGGGGCCAGAAGATGGACGCGACTTAATTGGATACCTTCAATCGCTCTGCTAGTTAATAGTAATACATCGATCTTTAAATCATAAAATGTAGGAGCATGGAATCATAATCTGTAATAGTCTAAAATCATATCCAGAACTTTCATGTAAAACGTCTTGAGTTTAATCGCTCCTCTTTTTCCATCGATCGCAGATTCTTTGTAGAAGGCATTTGCCGGCAGTGTTGCCGGCAAAGATCCCGGCATATGTATGCCGTTTTCTCTTCTTTTGCCGTTTGAAATATATATATATATATATATATATATATATATATATATATATATATTTACTATATTATAAATATATTATAAAGCTTAAATTAAATTACAATCAAATGAAACATCTCTTAAAAGGTTGTCTTAAAAACAACTTTACAACATGATGTACAAACACTTTAACAGCCGGCTAATTTGTTTATTGATAACATTAATTTCACACGGATAGCCACATATATCATCTAAATTTTATTGATCTAACGGATGGAATTTATTTAAAAAACATAAATCGGATCCAACAAATATATAACAAACACAAAGAATCCATGGAATTTTGACACGGATTGCCACGGTGTTTTCAATTGCTTTAAAAGCAAAAGACCCACAACCATTTCCTTACTCCTTTTATTCTTTTTCTCTCTTTAAAAAATTTCTCACACGTCATCATCTATTGCAGGATACTTTACCCATCCTCAATTCTATGGAGTAACTTCTGGCAATATAGCAACTCCAACAAAATGAGAGACGTTTCATTTTTGTAGGGCTTCAAGAATATGGCTTTCGGTCTACATTCTTCAAAAAGTGCTTTCTCCTGATTCATGAAGGATAGGATTTGTAGTTGTTATTCTTGGAGCTGAAAGAGCACAAGAAAAGGTTATAGTCGAGCAAAACAAATTATTGTTTATTTCTTTATTCATATTGTATTGTAAAGAGGAGCAAAGCCTCTTTAATCAGTAAATTGTTGGTTTTCTTAAAAAAAAATACATATGTTTTCTCAAATAATAATTAAACAATCGGTACCCGTTTACTCAACAAAGTGCATACCACATATGATTCCATTTAAGTCATCTAATACCAACTATGATTTCCATGTAAAACTGTTAAATTAGTTAAAGGCGTCTAACCTGTTTTGAATGAAAAACATAAAGAGACCATCATCGCTGATGTAAATGGCGGTGTCAAACCTTCGTTTCCATTTCCATTAAAAATTTTAATTCCTTCAACTTCCTACCGATCCGTTTCAGAAAAATCACCGAACTACCATCGAGCCACACCCTCGCTTTACCTTCACTGTCAAACAAACTCCTTCCATCACCTTCTTGCCCCTACACCTGCACTGGTTTGTTTCGGTTTCATATCAGATCCAGTTTGGTGTGAATATGTATTAAGCTGGTTCAGTTTGACTGAAGATCGATATGTATTGAAGAGTTAGTAACACAGATTCCGAAGAGAGGAGGTGGCGGCAGTTGCAACGGTGACAAAGCTGGAATATATGGTTATTGTAATGGAATCGGAGAAGATGGCGTCGATGGTGGCGTTAATGGAGTCGGAAAACTGGCGCCGTTTATGAAGGTGGAAGAAGTGAGGTTATGGTAGTGTTAATACCGCCGCTACCATAACCGTAAACCACACTCAAGAACCGTCCTTTACGGCCAGCCACCAAGTCTTCCACCATGAAACACCATCTCCACCGATTACCAATTGAAGAATCAAATGAAGAAAAGACGAGGGAGAAGAAAACAAGGCGTGATCTACTTTTGTTTCTTTGGCTGCACAAGTGAAAGTACAATTAGAGCACAAAAGTTGATTTTAGTGTGGGCTAAACATATTAATTTGGGCTTATTTACTTGTGAGCTAAATGATTTAATGAGTTTGATATTGTTATTAGTTTATTTTTTTTCTATAAAAAAAGTCGTGTCTTTGTATTTTTAAATACAAAAGAAAAATATATTAAAATTTATTTTTCAATTATTTAAATAAATGCAAATATATGATTTGTTTTTATTAAAGTTATTCTATATATACATTTGCATTTGATAAGATTCTAAACAATTAATACTATTATATATGACTTTCTTTCATTTTCAATACTGTTATTTACTACATCTCCAATGCCTATGTTTATAAATTTTATTTGATGTTTGTTTTTAACCGTTTAAGAAGACAACTTTCTTTTTAAAAGAGTACACTTAAAATAACTATCAAAATATTCCACTATTATAATTCGGTAGACTTTTTAAATTAAAATGTCTTAGTAAAAAAAATAATTTTATAACGACAAAATCACTGTACTAAATAATATTAAATGACAATATTCATTGTAATGATTTTTTTAATATAAATAATAAAAAAAGATTAAAATATTGAATTTAGTATGAGTGTTACGTTAGCATGAAAAATGTTATAGGTAATAAAAATTATTTTGCTCATGTAAATTGATATTACATTGTGTTCAAATTACAAGGATTCCAACTTCTATCGTATTCTAAAATTTGGTTGCAACTATAAAGATACAAAATCAAAAAGTTAAAACGAGTTAATCCCGTGAAACCTAAAATTTGTTAGAAAACTAGACGATACCTAAATATATTAAATACAAGTTAACTCTTATTTCATTATGCTCCTTTTGCATGGTGAAACAAAAAGGATCAGATTCATCTCATTTTTTATATTTTTTTAAAGTAATATATAACCTAAATAATTAGAATTTTTTTTAATCGCAATAAAAATACACATTTATTTTTAAACCACAAAAATAACATATTTTTTATCTAAAAAAACATGTACTTTTAAAACAAGATAACAAAGTATTTTTACTTTTAACCCAAATAACATTGCCGATCGAAAGGAAACGTTTTGACACCATCGAAACGAAACAAATTTTTGGATGAAATCTAAACGTCGGAATGAAATAAATCGCCGCCGCCGCATCGCGCGAGTATTATACTAGTATATATATATATATATATATATATATATATATATATATATATATATATATATATATATATATATATATATATATATATATATATATATATATATTCAGGTTTTTTGTTTTTTATTGATTAAAAACAAGAAAATATATAATTAAGATATACATATAAAATAAACACACTAACAAATTTGATATCTTGTTATCTAATTAAGGTGTCTTATGGTTAATGAAAATTTAAGTTTTATTTTAATTGATAGCTTTGTTTTTCATTATAAGTAAATTAAATGTTATATTTTTCTAATGTAATTTTTTTTGACGATATGGATTGCAAACCACTAAGGGGCCATTTGATAGTTGCTGACTGAGAAAGTGCTGATTGGGAAATGTCTGTCTTAATAATAAATTCTGACTGAGTAAAAAACCATGTTGTTTGATTGTACATCTGACTAAATGTGCTGACTGATTCAAAATGATCATTTTACCCTGGTGCTCTTTATAATAATAATAATAATAATATAATAATAATAATAATAATAATAATAATAATATAATAATAATAATAGTAATAGTGTAACATCCCGAAATTCAGGTACAACTATTTAACCCTTCTCTTTTGTCAAGTTGTCAAGATTAACCCTTGAGTGGAAATTGTAGCAAATGAGTACGCTGGGCGTACTCAAGAGTACGCTGCGCGTACTCATGCGCTTATTTTGGACGCGGACTCGCCTAGGTACGCTGGGCGTACCCAGGGTTACGCTGGGCTTAGTTGGCCCAGGTGCAAAACCCTAATTGTGGCTTGAGGGCTATAAAAGGAATGAGATGGTCTTGTCCCCAGCCACCATCCCTCAGAGAGAAACCCTAGAAGAGCAACTTTATCGTTCTAAAGCTAGTGTGTGTGTTCTTGAGCAAGAAAGTGCCTTTGTGTGTTAGTAAAGAAGAAGAGGAGGTTCTTGTGGAGGCTAGAAGTTGGAGTACAAGCTTGGATCTGAGTTCTACAGAGGGAGGAGCTTCACTTGGAGGTACAAAGCTCAAAGCTTTCCTTGTTATTTTTGATTTGTGCTTTATGGACCATTTCTAGGGTTAAAGTCCCAAAGGTGGAGACTTTATGAGCATAAAGGACTCCATGGACCTAGATCTGTCCCATTTCAGTGATATTAATGTTATAGATCCATAAAGTTTCCATCTTGGTCGTTGATATGAGGTCATGCTTGAATTATGAGCTTTCTAGAGTTGGGAAATGGAATGTTATGGGTGTTAGTGACTTGTCCAGCCATGCAAAGGCTTAAAGTCACCAACTTTATGGATTAAGAGGCTTAGAAATGGTCAGATCTAAAAGTTGGACGTGGGTCTTAACTGTTTAAGACCTCAAGAGCTAAGGAGTCTGAAACTGGGCGTAATCCCAGTACGCGCGGCGTAGGGGGTCGCGTTCCCCGTTTCTATGAGGTTGCCGGGTACGCCCAGCGTACAGGCTTGGTACGCGCAGCGTAACCCGGAGAGTTGACTTTTGTTGACTTTTAGGGTTTGGTCAACAATTGGACTTTTGGGACCATTGAGGGGTAAAATGGTCTTTTTAATGATTTGAAATAATTAATTTATGTGATTAGGCGGGGCTAGGTCGTTGTTTCGAGATTCAGGGATATCGAGCACGTGAGTTACTAGACATCATACGAGGTAAGTCTTCTCACTATACTGTACCTGGAAGGGTACTTATGTGTGACCAGAAGGTCTTGTATGCTATGATGTATGTGTATATGCGGTTATGTGAAATGTATGTGCTATGTATGATTATGTATGATACGGACCGGAAGGTCAAGAGGTTACGGACCGGAAGGTCGATACGGGTAGGACCGAAAGGTCTACCGGGATTTGGGACGGGAGTCCCCTGAGACACATGGATCGGAAGATCCTACAGAGTTGTGGCCTGGAAAGGCGTATGTGTGGCATGTGGTATTTTGGGGAACTCACTAAGCATTTATGCTTACAGTTGTTATGATATGTGTTTCAGGTACTAGCGAGGACCGTGGGAAGGCGCCGGCTTGATCTGTACACACTTATG